GGGGGCACAGGGGGACGCTGCCGTGGGGCCACAGGGGTGCTGTCTGTCCTCCAAGACCCACAGGCACGCCTTGGCCTTCTGTAAAGGAAACGTGTCCTGGTCCACTTTAACCCCTCTGGGGGTGGGCCGGGTCAGGTCTCACATCAGCTATGATGCAGCAGTACCATAAACTCAGCTAATTCGTGCAGGAAATAGAGTAATGGGCGAATGCTGACCACCCCCGACCGCAGGCATGAGGGGCCTGCGGGTTTGCCACGTCCTGTCTGCAGGCGGCGCTGTCTCCCACGGGAGGAAGCTGACCTGTCTTAATTCAAAATTTCCAAGCGGTGTTAAAATGCACAAAGGTCAGATGTGCCCCCTAACCACGTCTGGGCACAGCTCACACTGCTGTGCGCCGGATCTCCAGGACTTCCCATCTAGGACGACTCTGGCAAATGAAGACGACGCGGATCCGCACCGTCATCAGCGAGGGCGTCTGCGTCTGCACGGAGAAATTACCCACAGATCCGAGAATGACAGCGCCCAGAGCTGAGAAACGCAGATCTACCCGATCCCGTAACACGGTCAACCAGATAAAATGTTACGTCGCTGCAGACATAAACTACTGACGCTATAAAACAAACCAATTACTTGAGTTTCAGTAACAGGACAGGATGATCCTCTCCACACACACACAAGAGGCGGCAGACGGTGAAGCTCTGGGAAACGGCGAAGCCGAAGATGGGCAAAAGGACAGGGAAAAGGCAAAGGGCTCAGCATCTGATGACCAGTGAGAACGTGGGTTCAATCTGCAGCTCCCAATGAAGATCACAACTTGGATCTCGAGGTGACAATTCATTTCAGCTTATTGTCCTGGAAATCCCTGATGAGAACAACAAGCTTCCCGAAGGCGACACCACCCAGAGAAGCGCCACGAGGAACAGCAGCTCCCACGCACGTCAGCGTTTACTCAGCCTGTGCCGCGGGCCAGCGCTGCCCCTCCAACCACGCCCCGTGGCCTGCGTCTGCGGTCGGCGGCCGTCCTCCCTGGGGCTCGCGGGGCCTGAGAGCCCTCCGTGAACTCCCCGTGGCCGGCCAGCGACGCTCCTGGCGGTGCATGCACCCACGGGCAAATCTGGACACGGTACTGGGGTGGGGGGGCGGGGAAGGAGCGAGAACACCACAGATGAAATCCTGTCGCGGACCGCGAACAGCGAACAGCACGCCCGGATGTGGCACAGCAGGGGATGCGCCTCGCGCCAGTGGGGTGCTCTTAGCCAGATTCAGACGGAAGAAAGGCGCATCTCCGCCCGCCTTCCTTCCCCCCCTCCCCTTCCCTTTTCGGTCCTTTTGCATGGGGAACAACTGCCAGTCACCCCTCCAGAATGCCTCATGAATTAATGTGATAGAACAGTGGACTGCAGTCATCGTTTTGTTTACGCCCATGTAAAAACAAAGGGAAGACCTCAAAGTGTATTATTTTAAGTGAAATTCAACAGAAAGGCAAGCAGAGATGGCACATGCATCGCACGGTGACAAAGCCACAAACTCAAAAGAGAAACACAGCAGACTGCCCGATACGCACGCGCTCCTGGGCACGCGTCTGCCCAGAGGAGCGGCCCCGGGACCTCAGCACCTGAGTGGGCTGCGGCCCGTCTGGCCAGCGGCTGCACGCCGCGGCAGCCATTTCGGGAGACAGGCCATGTCACCTAGGTGGCCTCGGTCACTTGTGGAAGTGGATGTCCCGCAAACGCTCTTCACTGCCACCACATTTCGAGCACCGACCTGCTCCTCCACTCCTGGGGTGTCCCACTCCTGGGGGGGTGCCGCTTTAGGATGCCGACGAGCCTGTCTCGGCCACGAAGAGGGCTGGCTGGGGACCCCATGAGGCCCAGCCCGCCCCGGGCCGGCACCCACCACTCGGGGCCCGCTCAGCACACCCTGCGCCCCGAGGCTGGAACACACCAGGCGTCCCCGGGGGCGCACCCACACGGGATTCAGTGCTGTGGGACCGAGGCTGCGGGGCTGGCCAGGCGTGTGCTGGGCCCAGGCTACCCGCGAGGGGCGGGCCTCTAAGGAGCAGGGGAACACGACGCTCCTCTTGGCCTGCGAGGCCGACCCGAGCCCCGAATCCAGTTAGACATGTGCAAGGCTGTCTCGTGCTCCTGAAGAAGCCAGCGGAGCCCTGAGCCGTCAGGTGCGAGCCAGGGAACTTTCCACAAGCATTCGATGGCAAGGGCACGCTAAACGTGGGTGGGGGCTTACAATCCCGTGACCTGCTTCGGACGAGAACCCCAAACGAGGGGCTATTCATCGGGTTAAGCAGCAGAGAGAGCCCCGGGGCTCTGGCAGAAGCAAGAACAACGCCGAGCGGCTGGTTCTGCACGTAGAGTGCAGGGAGCACCCCTGGGGGAGGAGCGGCCCTCACCCACCTGAGCTCACAGAGTAAGAATTCAGACCCGCGTGCACACAGGGCCTCGCTGGGAAGAATCACCAGGCACAGCACGTGGTGAAATAGCATCGCAAGACCTGCAGGTCTCACACAGCCGGGACCGGCCTGCACAGTGAGACAAAGTCCTGAAACTGGACCGCCGGGCGCTCTGAAGGGCATGTCGCTAGGGTAAACAGCAGGCGTGTTAACAAACGCGCCACCTCGATGTCGGACTGAAATGAAAACTCAACAGCTCTGCACTGGCAACTTGCATTATTTACTTGGTGCTCTGTGAATAGTGCACTGGAAGGTAACCTAGACGCTTCAAGCCTCCTATCAGTCAAATGACATTACAAGGTGAATTCCGATTACGAAGGGTGAGCTCTGCCCTATTTTAGAATACAAAGGTAGCTGGCTTCCGTTTCCATCCTCCCTATGGTAAGAGCTGGTAGTTATTAACATTTAGGATTAGCTGAGAAAAAAAGAATCCCTGAAACAGCTCAGAATGATAAAGAATAAAAACATAATGAAGAGATACTGAGGTGCAGAAGATACAATGGAAAGACTCAACATAATTGAATGACAGTTTGCGAAGGTGAAGCAGGAAGATCGGGAGTGAGGGAAACGGGCCGGGTGGCGAGCAGACCGTGAGCTCTGTGCCTGAGGTCACGCCGAGCCCCAGCAGGGTGACTGGAAGCGACTGTCCACCTTAACGCGAGGGCTCTATTCCCGTACAGCCCAAGAGCAGAACCAGAGAGAAGACGCGGCCTGTACGGAACAAGAGCGGTGCGACATAGGTCACTCCTGAGTGTGTACAGTGCAGGAATAAAACCAATCCATGCTGTAAAAATATTCGGAGAGGGGCCCTCCCTGGGGGTGCAGCGGGTTACAGCACAGCACTGAGAAGCTAAAGCCGCTTCCGCATGAGTTCGATCCCCGCCTGCCCCGGAGGTGACC